CAACGTTTAAAAAAGATCTCCACTTCATTGTCAAAACACACAGTTTCATACAGAAAAATTCATTCCAGGGCTCTTGACATTGAGACGTTGTCACATGCATTTCTAAGACCAAAATACAGCAGTGGGCTAGGAATATAGCTCAGTGGTACCAGTGGTAGAGCATTTGCCTAGCATGTGTGAGACCCCAAGTTCAATTCCCAGCACTGCAACAATTAAAAAAAAATCGAAAACAAATCAGAGTTCTGTCTAAGCAAAAATATAGGTGGGAGAAGAAGAAAAGGACAGGCATGGGTGCCATTCGGAAGAATGAGCAGCAGCCAGCCATGTGTTAGTGAGCTGGTGGTGCATTTGAGTTTAAATGAACAGCAATCGACTTTGAAAGTTCGGTGTATTTGATAAGCAGCATAGAGCACAAGCTTAATTGCTGCCTCTGAAATCATTATGAAACTGGGAACCATTTCAATGGTCATTTTTGTAATTAACAATAAAAAGAAACTCTAAGCTACGCTAGTGGGTGCTGAGCAACAGTCAAACATGCCACACCCCAGGATTGCTGAGTGGCCTCCAGATGAGAGAACACAGCCCTGAGCCTCTCATCCCTTTAGAATTCCATAGAATCACATGCTCAGAAAGGTCAGAGGAATCCATAGGAAGGGGAGGAGCAACTACAAGACTTGAAGATCCAGAACACTGGCAGAGGCTCCTGCATGCCCCCTGGTGGCTATCTCCTGAGAGAGTAGCCTCACAGGAGGGTGAACTGTTCTTGGAACCATGTATGAACCCAGGGTGCAAGGTATACTGTCAGAGCTGCCAACTCTTTCTCTGACATTTGTCCATGTGTGTGTTTACTAAGCTATGGGTACTTGATCTGACTGAGCATAATTTATCACATTATTGAACCCCCCAGGAATACTGTCATGCTCCCTCACTCATGGGACTCTCTTCACAGTGTCCCTAAAACATCCTGAGGACCTAATAGCTTGTATTCATGACCTGTTGCTGTTTGGAGTGCTGGTTACCAGGAGTTACTGCTTGCTGCCTGCTTTGACTGAAGTACCTCTCATGAAAATAAACGAGTTAGCCTATACCAATCATGAAAAAAAGATCTGTGGATTAAAGGTGCTATTAAATTCAAGCACATGAGGGCAAAAGCAGAGCTGAGCTGGCATCCCACTGGACCCTCAGCAATGAGCTTGGCAGCCACAGGGAGAAGTGAGAAAAAAGGGATCTCACCAGGCCTTTCCACACTCAGGCCTCATGCTCACACACCCCCACATGCACACACATCCACCACACACAAAAATAAAAATAAATAAATAAATTGCATCCTATCAAAAGTAAACCAAAATTACCAGGCTCTTTAAAAAATACTTTAATCCTCTCATGAGGATTAATCAATAGTCATAATAATTTGGAAATTGTTTTAAAACCAACCAGCCAGGACTGGGGAGATGACTCAATGGATAAGAGCACTGGCTGCTCTTCCAGAACCAGGTTTGGTTTTCAGCTCCCACATGGTGGCTGACAACCATCCTTAACTCCAGTTCCAGGTGATCTGAAGCCCTATTCTGGCCTCCACAGGTGTATTTAAATATACATGCCAGCAAAACACTCATACACATAAAAATAAAAAATTTAAAACCCAACCATCCAAAATATAAACAGAAACTACTGCCATGTTAGAGAGACAGATAAACAATATTGAGATTCCCCAATCCAATATTTATATCACTTAACAACTACATACTGACCAGTAGACTCTTGAATTTTCTTAATATAATGGACCATGTATATACTTCATAAGAAAACAAATATAGACTATCTGGGATGCTTGTCCAAATTCTTTTCACTACTGGAATTGAACAGTTATGCAAAACTGTAGATGGTCACTGTCTTAAACAAAACCTGGAGAAGAGAGTCCCCAGCCCACAGGCACAGACCACTCCCTAACAAGAGCCCTTCTGTCCTGGCTTTTCTCACAAGCTCTTTGCACCTTGGATGTGAAGCCTCCAGCTGACTGGACTCTCAGATGGCTTCAGAGTCACCCAGCCAACACTGGGTTTCTTAAAAGAGATAATAGAATGCAGAATTAAAGCAACCTACTCAAAACCACATGGCTGAGTGGGAAGACCAACACCTCCAGCCCATTCCCACAGAACGTGTAAACAGTGAACACACCAACTGTAAGGCTCTTCCTATGGCCTGACAACTTACCCTTAAAGTATTTTGTATCAATTTCTATTTGAGTGATGACTCCAGGGTGTGCCAATCGGAACACTGCCCACTCACAACCAGGGACCTGGAGAAGGCCGTTCTCATCATTCTGAGTTAAAATAAAACACATAAGCCAACTTGAATTGGAGAAAGTCATCCTACACACTAGCAGGAGAAGGAAGCTGGCATTTCAGATTGTGTTCTTTTATTTCTTACTAAAAAAAAAAAAAGCCAGGTGCAATGTGGTATTACACATCTGTAATCTCAGCACTTGGGAGATAGAAACAGGAGAGTCAGGAGTTCAAGGTCATCCTCAGCTACATTTTCTGTGGCAATGATAAAACACCATGACCAAGGCAACTTATAGAAGGGTTTGCTGGGCTTAGGAGTCCAGAGGATAAGAGCCCATCGTGGCAGGAGAGGTTTGGCAGGAGGCAGTTGGAGCAAAAAGTTGAGCACCCACATCTTCACTCACAAGAAGCAGAGAGATTGAACGTGGGACAAGGCCCTAAACTATCAAAGCCTGCCCCCCATGACAAACTTCCTTTACCCAGGCCACAGCTCCTAAAGATTCCATGACCCAGTCAGGCATGGTGGCAAAAGCCTTTAATCCCAGCACTCGGGAGGCAGAGGCAGGAAGATCTCTGTCAGTTCAAGGCCAGCCTCGCCTACATAGTGAGTTCCAGGTCAGCTGGGACTACAGGGAGAACCTGTCTCAAAAACACCAAAAAAAAAAAAAAAAAAAAATTCCATGACCCTACCCAAAGAGCACAACCAACTGGGGGCCAAATGTTCAAATACTTGAGCCTATGATACTTCTTATTTTGACCAACACATAAATAGAGAGTTCAAGGTCAGCCTGGGCACATGAGATTTTGTGTGTGTGTGTGTGTGTGTGTGTGTGTATACACAAAGTTCCTATGACCTGATGTGTAATTACTTTTTGTGTAAATTACCCGCTTGCCTCTTATCCCTTTAATGTTTCATATTGACCCTAAGGTTATTGGGAACAAAATGTCATAAGGGCCAGTTTAGGTTTAGACAACATGGCACTGATATTGATATGCAACATGAGTCAGGTAAAACGTGACTGACACTGGACATGGGAGGCAATGAGTCAGCACAAAATGGCTGACACCAGATGTCTGGGGACCCCAAAATACACAGTGATATAATTTGCTATGTAACTATTTTTTAGCAGAATGCCACTTTTCTATAATTCTGTATAAAGATGGCCTTGAAGTCCAAGGCCTGAGCTTTCACCTTTACCAGCTTGTGTATGTTTATCTGTAGGCCTGTGTGCCTCCCTCCTTATGGCCTGTGTTTAGGTCTGTATGTTTGTCTATACCTACTTGTGTGTGGTCCATGTGTGCTGACATGTGCCTAAGTAAGTACCTGCCATTACCCGCCTGCCTAGCAGCCTGTATGGCGATGAATGGCATATGTCTTTCCTGCCCTCAACTCCCCCATTCTCTTAAGCTGCCCGGCCTCTTGTGACCTTCCTCCTTTCCTGGCACCAGAACTTGTACCTCACATGGAAAGAGGAAACCTGCTCCTACAAGTTATCCTTTGACCTCCACACACACTCACACACTGTCACACACACACACACACACACACACACACACACACACACACACAAACACATACACATATGCCAAAAATATATATGTTTATAATACAGTTAAATGTTATAATAAAAAAAGAAAAATTAAACTATAGATTATTTTCTTTAGTGAAAAAATAGAATGTTCCAAAACTTGACTGGCGCCACTGTGAAAACAAGCATTCTGGTAAAATTTAGTGTAATGCTATACCAGGAAAGACGGTGGGAACATAATGGAAGTTTGAAAATGTGGAGGACGGTAATAAACACTTAGACCAAGACTTGGTAGGGGGGTTGCTTTGTTCTTTGAGACAGGCACTTATGTAGCCCAGGTTGGCCCAGAGCTCCCTACAGAGCTGTCCTAGTTTCATTTCTGCTGCTGTGACAAATATTCTGACAAAACATAACAGAGGGGAAGAAAGGGTTTATTGGCACACAATTCCAGGTTACATCCATCGTGTCAGGAAGTCAAGGCAGGAACTTAAACAGTTAGACACATCACATCCACAGAGGGTAACAAATGTACCCATGCACCCATGAGGCCTGCTAGCTTAGTACTCTGCTAGCTTCTCTACGCTTATGAAGTCCAGGGCCCAAAGCCAGGGAACAGTGCTACCTACAAGTGGGCTGAGGTCTCCCTACATCAGTTAATAAAACAATCCCCCACAGATGTGCTCACAGGCCAACCTGGTCTAGAAAATCCATCATTAGGACTGTCTTCCAAAGTGATTCTAGGTTGGGTCAAGTTGATAGTTAAAACTAACCAGCACAGTAGCCAGGAAAGACTTTGAACTACTGATCCTCCTGCCTCCACCTCCCCAGGCTGGGATTACAGGCATATATCACCACACCTGGCTCAAGAAATTTTCTAATGAAGCAAAATTTTCTTGATATAAAATGAAAGAAATTTTTTTAATACTTTCTAGAAAAAATTGAAACTATAGTTGTCACAAGTCTTACTTCTAACACCGGGGGCCTGTCCAGCCTTCTTGCAGTTTCCCAGCCATCTGCCATGGACTTGGGCTTGCCGACACCTACAAGAAATAAATAGCCAGGGTTAAAGGTGCGACCTGTGATCTAATTCAAATGCAGGGATGGGTGGCTGGTGCCATTAAATTTCACATCTCATTTTCCGAAGCATCACTACATTGAAATTACTTTCAGTAGAGTTGATATTTCAGTGAATTCACAGCCACAGGATTAACTAATTTTATTTCTCCTTTATAATACATACTTAGGTCAAAATTAAGAAGGACCATAACTAGTCCAGGACCACTCCATGTCATAAAGATGTCAAATTGTCCCCAAGCTCCAAATGGCCCCTCCTCTGGCATTATTATGGCCGTGTCCGGCTTGTGATGCTGGTGCCTACACTTCCACATGAGCCTGGGCTCCTGGAACACCCTCTTACCTATCATGTTGTTTGGATGCCCAAAGTGGGCATTACTAAATCCTACACAAACTCCCCCAAAAGCAATGGCTGCCAGGTCTATAGGTTCTTTGGAGTCTGATGCAGTCCAGTCTTTCTGTCCAGTGCCGTACACTCTAAGGCGTGCAATGCCACCATCTGAAAAGGAAAGGTGCCTACATTACTGTTTGGAGACCTGGCTGCTGAGGTGTCGTGAACTCTGGGGCCCACCAGCCTTGGCCTACCTCCTCACCTGCTAGGCTTATAATACCTGCCATTTTATGTTCATTAAACACAGCAAGTCAATTGCCCTGGGCCCTTGCCCTGGACACTGCCTTGTACCTGAACAACCTTCTCAAATCTCCAGGACTACTGTCAGTTCTCAAGTGTCATGGTTCTGTAAAGGTCTTCCTTCCCTCTGCATGCTTCTCCTCCCTGCCCCTCAGCCCCTGCCTGTCTTACCAGGTAAATTTTATCCTAGCTCCCTGCTCCAAGGGATCTGGTGCCCTCTTCTGGCCTCCTCGGACCCTCACACACATGTGTACATACATACATATAGGCACACACAATAAATAAGGGGGCTGGAGAGATGGCTCAGAGGTCAAGAGCACTGGCTGCTCTTGCAGAAGACCCAGGTTCGAATCCCAGCACCCACATGTTGGCTAACAACTGTCCATAACTCCAATTCCAGGGGATCTGATACCCTCTTCTGACCTCTGTGGGCACTGCACAACATGGGTGCACTTACATACATGCAGGCAATATACTCATACACAAAAAATAAAAACAAAGAAAATATAAAAATAAAGTATTTTTTAAAGTTTGGTGTCAGAAATGAGAACCACTATGATGTACATAGACTCACACCACACTGCTCAGCAGTAGAGTCGAGACAACAGCAGACAATCTTTGGAAATTCGAACTGTGACTGAGAAAAGCCACAGTCTAACATCCGGCACACAGAGCAACACAGCCCAGGTTCACTCCCAGTCCTTGAGCCTCACAAATGGAGCCTTTCCTCTGCCTGCATTTGGCTTTCTGGAAGGTGAAGGTCAAGCAGTTTTTTGTTTTTTTATTTTCAGAGAAGCTCAAAATTGTTTAATCAGAGCATTCTACTAAAATGAAGCCCCATGGGGAAAAAAAATGGTGAAACGGAGTGATCTGAAAATATTCTGATATAAAAATGGATCCCTTGCTATTTTCAACCTATACAACCAGACCTCACTGGCTTAAAATCCTAGAAGGACACAGTAATCCAGCAAGGGCTGGACCAAGAGGGGAATGCCACTGTTGTGCTACCTTGCTGTGTTTCATTTTAGTGCTGTAGAAGATATTTATCTGCCAATTTTTATACATTAAAAGGTACCGTTTTTCTTTATGGAGTTAATTTCCAGCCTCACACTTAAAATGATCAAGGAATCTCAGAAGCGCCTCTTCATCCTCTGGGTCTGTGATAGCATCCTGGCTTGTTAGCATTTCCTGTTCTTTTCAAAATTGGACCCCAGGTAGAATCATCTTAGAGTATTCAGTATTGCGATTAAATATTCAGCAAAGAAACCTCCATACAGGCAGTGCCGGCCTTCACCTTGCAGTGGATGATGGTCAATTGAGCTAACCCAGCAAGGCAGGGCTTGCACTATGAAATGTCAGAGACCCTCCTCCAGCTTCTAAACCTTGTACAAATTGGATTGAACACATGAAGCTGCTATTTAGGAATATCAAAAATAGACATTTATTGGGGCTGGCAAGATAACTCAGAGGGTAAAGGTGCTTTCTGCCAAGGCTGATGATTTAAGCTCAGTCCTCAGAACCCCCAACTTGTCCTCTGACTTCCACACCCACACCATCGCACATACATAGGCACACCTATACTACACACACACACACACACACACACACACACACACACACCATATACACATACAACAAATAAATGTAAAAACAGTTTAATATAAATTTTTTTCTTGGTCTTTTTGAGACAGGGTCTCCCTGTAACCCCAGCTGACCTGGAGCTCACTATGTAGACAAAGCTGGCCTTGAACTCACAGAGATCCACCTGCCTCTGCCTCTGGAGTGTTGAAATTGAAGGCGTGTGCCACCAAGCCTGGCTTAATATAAATTTCTTATGGCTCTCCCTAAATACTTCTATTTTTTCAGTTGTCTTTTTACTCCACACATTCAAGGACTCTGCTGACCCAACAGTACACAGTCCCTGAGCCTCACCTCCACTCCATGAGGTTTGGTGAGCTACACCATATGCCAACAGTCAGTCAGCCAGCCACACAGCCCTGTTATCATGACAACTACTGTCTCTTAGCTCTGCCCTACAAGTGTTCTGGAAAGACTCAGTGTCTAGCTGAAAGTGGATATATCATAGTGCTTGCTAAATTAACAAGTAAGGGAAGGGTCTTCTGCTCTCCTGACTCTGCCCACTCACCTACTTATGCTGGTTTCAGGACTGGTGGTGTCAGTTAGTCACCACTGAAAACACATGCTCAGGTCTTTCCCATGTTGGTGTCTTCTCCAGAGCATGACTGTCAGAGACATCCTCAGAGAAAACTAAAGGGCCCGCAGCTCAGGTCAGCATGTAGAACTCTGCTGCCCAGCTCCCCAGTGAAGCCCATGGCAGGGGGCAGGGAGGTAGGTAGGAGGTGGGAGGAGGCACTTCAAGTCTCTGGATATGGTCTTCCAGGCTTACAGCAAATGAAGCAACACTTAAGAATGTAGACCAGGGGTCTGGAGAGAAAGCTCAGCAGTTAGAAGCACTGACTGCTCTTGCAGAGGACCCGGTTCAATTCCCAGCACCCACACGGCAACTAACTACTGTCTGTAAATCCAGTTCCAGGAAATCCAACACCCTCTTCTGACCTCCAAGAGCATTGCACAACATGGGTGCACCTACCTACATGCAAACAATACACTCATACACATAAAATAAAAATATTAAATAAGTATTTTAAAAATGAATGTCGACTAAACTTAGTACCATAGCAATAGTGTGGAAGCCCAAAACCACATAATGTCTCAATAGATGTAGGAAAAGCATTTCATGATAAAACCATTTCATGATAAAAACACAGCAAACAGGAATGGAGGGAACTTTCATCACCCAGGAAAGGCATCTATGAAGACTATAGGTGGCAATGTAGAGATCGGATATGGGTATTGGCTCTTGGCAATGCCACTGAACATGATACTAGAGATTCTAGCCAGGGCAAAGGAGGTGTGGGGGAAATACAAAACCCAATTTGAAAAGAAGATATGACATGATTTGGTACATAGAGGATTCTAACTGGTCCAGTTAAAAAACATCAATACTCACAAATGAATTCAGCAAGTTTATAGGATACAAGATTTCCTTAGCAAAAGAAATGGATAACTTTTTTTTGAGACAGGGTCTCCCTGTAGCTCCAACTGGCCTGGAACTCACTATGTAGACCAGGCTGGCCTTGAACTCACAGAGATCCTCCTGCCTCTGCCTCTCGAGTGTTGGAATTAAAGGCGTGAGCCACACCACACCCAGAAGAAATAGATAACTTAGACTCTGAAAATTATGAAACATTGTTGAAAGAAATTAAAGGTGATCTGGAGGAGTGAAAGATGTTCCTCCATTCACTGGGAGCTGCGACGTTAAACTGGCAACATAAACATACTACATTGATCCACAGATTCAGTATAGTATCTGTCAGAATCTGTAGGCTATTATAAAACAGACCTAATCTGGACTAATGACTTTTACTTAACTTCGGTAAACTTACTGAACCATATGCTCTTGTGACTGGGCACCTGATCTTTTTCCTAGGAACCTCAATTTGCTACTCCACTCTAAAAGATAATGAATAAATGTGTGTGTGCTTGAGTCCATTAACATATCAAAGTTCTAAAAGACATCTTCACTGAAAACATGAAGCTTGAGAAAGGATGCTCGACATTGTGTATATGAGGTAGTCTAGAATTAGGAATGAAAAGGAAAGATTGTCTGATAAGGGTGGCACAACTGGTCAAAATGTCAAGAATTAGATACTTCATAGTGCTTGCCCCTGGATAGGACTCTTATATTAACCCTCTGCCACCAAAAGCTCAAGGATCATTTTGGAAAAGGGGGCAGAAAGACTGTAAAAGCCAATGGTGGTGGATGACCACATGGAAACAGAGTTTTCCAGGCAGCTGGCAACTTGTTGCTCATATGAACTTAAAGCAGCAGTGATAGCACGCACAAGATCCATGCAAATGCAAACCAGACAAAAGCATAGAAGGAGAAAAATGGGTAAAAAGCCCCAACCTTAGCTGAGGAACTATTGGTAACTGATTACTGTTGAGAGGGTGAATTGGTCTTCTTTAAGAGGGTGACACTAGATAGGCTGACCAGGAAATGCCACTGAACATGATACTAGAGATTCTAGCCAGTTCATCCAGTGGATGAACTCACACCGAAGGACATCTGGTGACACAAACTTGACTCGATAGGCCTTAACATATATGACAGAATGCATGAAATCTGGTGGGGGCGGCCAAGAGGAGTGCAGATAGGGAAGGGGGCTCTAAATAAGATTAAGACGTTTTATATGAAATGCACTAAAATTAAATTTTAAATACTTTTTAAAAAAAAAAAAAGGGTGGATCCAAGCTTATACGTCCCCAATTGAAGCTGAAGAAATGGTTTTGAATGAAATTGTGGATAAGGCCTAACTTGAGGACACAGTTCCAGGACACATCTTGGGGAACAGGTGCCCTCCAAGTCTGGACCCACTCTTAAAAACTAAAGTTAAGAGTCAAGCTGTTTTACTCAAGTAATTGTAATGTGGCATGGTAACACTGCAAGAATCCCACATCTCTTCTTTACAGAATTTTATATGCTAATTTTAAACTACAGAATGCAAAAAGAACAATGCTGGGCCAGTGAGACAGCTCAGCAGGTAAAGAGTCTTGCTGCATAAGCCTGGTGACCTGAGTTCAATCCCTAGAACTCATATAAAAGTGGAAGGAGAAAACCTAATCCACAGTTGTCCTCTGACCTCCACACACATATCATAGCACCTGTGTGCCCTGCACACATCATGCACAGACACAAACAATAAAATAAATAGTAATAAATAATAATTTTTAATTATTTTTTTAAAAGTAATTCTTGATGTGTCACAATAACTGATCTCAAATTATATTACAGAGCCACAGTAACAAAAACTGTATGGCACTGACACAAAAACAGACATGTAACAGACAATGGAAAAGGAGACCTAGAAATAAACCTACAGACCTACAACCACTTAATTTTTATAAAATTTAAAAACATACATTGAAAAAAAGACATCCTGTTCAATAAATGGAGCTGGGAAGACAGGAGATCCACATGCAAAACAATGACATTAGAGCCAGGTGTGGTGGCACATGCCTTTAAGCTTAGCACTCAGGAAGCAGGCAGACCTCTGTGAGATAGAGACCAGCCTGTCTCCATGATGCATTCCAGGCCCACTGAGGCTACAAGGAAACCCTGTCTCAAAAAATAAAACAAAAGAAAAATAGAATGAAATTAGAACCATATCTCTTACCCTGCCCCAAAATCAATTCAAAATGGATCAAAGGCCTTCTTGTAAGACCTGAAACTGCTAGAAGAAGCATTTCAAGACACAGGCACAGGCATGGACTTTCTGAAAAGAGCTCCAATATCACAAGAAATAATCCCAACAATTGACAGATGGGATTGCATGAAGTTAAAAAGCCTCTGTACAGCAAAGGAAACAGTCACCAGGATGAAGACGCAGCCTCCAGAATGGGAAAAAAATCAGCCACACATCACATAGATGATTCATGTCTAGAAATATAAAGAAAAAATTAAACACCAGAAGACACAGGTCATCCAATCAACAAATGGGCTGATATCAATAGACAGTTCTCAAAAGAAGAAATTAAAATGGCCAGTAAATATTTGAAATGTTCAATGTGCTTAGCTTCAGGGAAATGCAAATTAAAACTGCTTTGAGATTCCATCTCACCCCAGTGAGAATGGCTATCACCAAGAAAACAAATGATAATCACAGTTCTCCAAAGAAAATACATAAATGGCCGATAAGTACATGAAAAGGTCTCCATCACATCACTTCACACCCACCAGATGACTATGATCAACAAGGCACCAAGTGCTGGCGGGCAGGAGGCAAAGAAGGAAAACACCTGATACATGGCTGGTGAACCCACAAACAGTGCCATTTTGGAAATGATCACTAAAGGACATGGGATTTTTGATTTGGGCTTTGGGGCTTTTTTTTTGCAATTTGGAAATGGAACTCAGAGCCTTGTGTTTGCTAGCCAAGTATTCTACCACTGAGCTACATACCCAACCCCGAGGCACGGAATTTCTTTTAGAGGTAATAAAATGCTCTAAAATTGACTATATTGCATGTCACTTCAATGGTACACATCGAATAGGTGAATCATGTGTTATTTTGATATATTACACTACAGCTTCTACAAGGGAAAAAAAAAACAAAGGGCTAGAGTGCTGACTCAGCTTGCTGCTCTTGCAGAGGAGCCAAATTTGCCAGCACCCACATGGGGTGACACAACAGCCTGTGACTCCAGCTCCAGTAGAATCCAATGCCCTCTTCTGGACTCTGCTGACACTGTACTCACACATCAGAAACACACACACACACACACATAAATAAAAAAAATAAAACACAGTCATGGGTGGCTACTACGTCAAATGTTAACAATACTGTTAACATCAAATTTGAGCAACTAATTTCCAACACATTTTAAGCTGATAATTCTTGTCAGCTCCCTATTAGTGAGCATAGTAAGAAGCTTCTTGGGAGTCACAATCCTAAAATTCCCCAAACTCAAGTACCAGGAAGGCCAGTTCGTCTTGTATTTTATTAACACAACAACATGAGATGAAAAGTCCACAGAAGAAAGTCCCTGTCACACATACCTGGGAAAATGTTGAGTCTTACGTGAGTCCATCTCTGCTGGGAATTGACAAGAAAATAGTTGTGGCTGGAGTCAGCGTTTCCTAGTTTAAGCTCTGACATGGGAACCAGGTAATCCCAGGTGTTGGATTTTAGCTAGCAATGAATACAGAAATGTCAGCATTGGCTCTTGAGAGCAATTCACTCTCATGTTAAGGAAGGACTAAGGGAAGACATATTGGAGTAAAAATGAATGATGGTTGCTGAATGGAACACTTTACTGAAAAGAGTAATAGTGATCAGTTTAAACACAATAGAGTCACTCTCCTTTGGGGATATGGCCACTGCTAGGATGCAATGTACCGTGGATGGTCCCACTCTCAAGCATATATTGGAAGCACTGACTGGACTCAGGGTTATTAATAACATAAGAAAAAAGATGACATGAAATTGAGAGGGAGACGGGGTAAGGAACACTGCGGGGGAGTGGGCAGGATATAACAGTGGCTGGATCTGATCAAAATACTTTATTAAATGTATGGAAATTTTAATAAGTAAAAATGCTATTTGAAAAAAACAGAATAGAGGCCTAGTTGGGGATTTTTTTCCCCCACACTAATCAAAATAACAATTAGGTGATGGATGGGCGAGGCTTGTGACTGAAGGACAGGATGTCTTTCCGCTGTCTTCTTGATTCTTAGAAGAAGCAGGGGTGGTGGTGAGGGCACTCAGATAAAAGCCAGGACTGTTCCCATGGGCAGGGTTTGAGGTCCAGGGAGACGGGTTGGCTGAGCCTGGCAACAACTCTCCCTAGCTCAGCCCTTCTCAGAAAACCAGCCCATTCTTTGCTATCACTTCCTTCCTGTCTGCCACAGGTCAACATATTTGTAACACAGCACACGTAAACTACCAGATAAACTTAACACAACAGGAACATGCCAAACACAAGCCTTGTTGTTTATCTTATTAAGTTCAGCAGATGAAAGTCACTTTATCATGTTGCTGTGGGAGGTAAAGGGTGAGTTTCCCCAAGTCTGTAGGGCCAGCAGCGGTACACAGCCACATGCAGTGCCCACAGACCCGTGAAGATGTTTTGTGCCAGGCCATTCCCCCACACAGAGGGCCATGGACCACAAGGAAGGCTCTGCAAGTCACAGTGTAGGTGGAAGAGGTGCAGATGCCAGGTGGGTAGCCCTTGTCAATGACGTCTCATAGCCAGGCCTGTGACTGACTCTTTAGGGTCTTGGAGCACAGACCCAATGTCTTACCTTGGCAATAACTGCAAACTCCTCAGGTGTCGCTGCAGCTCCTGTCCTGACTCCTCTGGGTGGGACTTCTCCCACTTTATCTGGTCAGAACAACCGTGCAGGATCAGGGTTGAGAAGCAAAGAGAACCAACTCTCTCTCTCAGGGGTGCGTGTGGCAATTTTCATCTGCGCACAGCACTGAGGACATCGTTGCTTAAGTCACAGAATCAGGTGATCAGAGTACAGGCATTCCTACTGACATTGCTCAGTCTGAAATATTCTGACTGACTTCAAAGGGTGGTGTGTAATACCCTGACACCATATTAGCTTCTCAAAATAGTACCTGTCATTTCAAGTTAGGCCAAAGTCCACAAATTGATCACACTTGAGACTATGACAAGGTCAGTTCCAGAAACCCCACCATGCCCCCCATCCCCCTCCCCATGGCTGCCTTAGAACTAGAACTCGGCCAGCTCAGAAACAGCAGTGCCCATGGACAGCAGTTCTCACTTGTCATCCATGTATCACTGGCCAGCTCCTGTGTGTGGAGTCCCGTCTCTCAGATCATCACTAACTTCCCAGGAGCCCAGCCATCTGTGGAGAGCAGGGCCCACTCACTCTTCAGAGCCTCATGTGGTACTGCACACATGGGACTTTCAGTATCATGTGTCCTGTAACATGATTTAGACACCCTACACATGTATGTGTGTGTACATATGACTGTGTATACTTCCTAAACCATTCAAATGTCAATATCTGATAATGCCAATAAATGAAAGGGCTCTAAATTATGAAGACTCAATAACTCCCAAAATGTAGTGATCCTGGAGAAGAGGGGGGCCCTGCCCCAGAACTCCATAGTTGCTGCACTTTAGGGGCCCCTAGGTAGCTGGAAGTAGGCTGGAGCTGCTGACCTGGAGGTATCCAGACCTGACCTGGCTCCCCCCACCAAATCCTCCAAGGCACAATCCACTCCTCCCACCTTCCCCAGCAACCAGCTCACCCAAGCCTCCCACCAGCACACAAGCATATATGCCTCTGCAAAACTGAGCATTGTGGGAATGGTGACCACTGTACTGGATCAGCAAACATCATTAAGTTGGAAATTGAACATCTCAGGGCAGGGGCTAGAAAGATGGCTCAGAGGTTAAGAGCACTTGCTTCCATTAAGGAGGACCCAGATTCTGTTCCCAGCACCCACATGGCAGTTCCCAATCGCCTATCACTCCAGTTCTAAGGGCTCTGATGCCCTCTTCCACCATGCACGTTCATGGTACACAAACATACATGCAAACAAAACACTCAAACACATCAAATAAAAATAAATGTTTAAAGGCCTCAGGACAGCCGTTTGGGATTCCTAGTTCTAAGGCCTCGTCACAGCCCAGCAGCCTCAGACAGCGCTGACCTATCTGGTTCTTATAGAAGATTCACCATCAGACTGAACCAGAGGAACCTCCCATCCCATACTCTTCTCTGGGGACAGCTGCTCCTGCATACCTTCACTCAAATTTGCTGCTTGGATCGACACGCGAGGAGCATAGTTTCCTGAGAAGTAAGAGATGTCCACATCGATACCATGGATAATGCCCTGGATCCCCAGCTGGATGATGCACCAGTCGTGACCTAGGCAGCAGGATCACAAGAGTACCCATGAAGTCCCATAGTGAGGATGAGAGCAACCATGGGGGCCCATAGGGGAATAAGAACATCCATGAGGTCCCATGGGGATGACAAGAGCACTGTGAGCTCAATGCTTCAATGTGGCCATTGAGGTGTGGAGATCCCTCCAGCCTGGCTCTCCTGCAAGCCTTCTCCCCACTATCTCAGAGCTCCCCACAACCCCCCACCCTACCCATGCCCCAGAATACCAAGACTTCAGAATCAGTATGTCATAGTGCAAGTCAGAGTTATTTACAGTCAACAATAAATTGGCCTTAAAATGTCCTGACCCATTAGAATCTAATAAAGCTTGGATACTGTAGAAATAAAAAACCAAAATCAGGGCCAGGCATGGTAGCACATGCCTTTAATCCCAGCACTAGGGAGGCAGAAGCAGGTGGATCTCTGTGAGATCAAGGCCAGCCTGGTCTACATAGTGAGTTCCAGGCCAGCTGTAGCTATAGGGAGACCTTGTCTCAAAAAGAAAAAAAAAATCAAGTCCAAATAGACAGTAGGCTCTCAGTCTGTCTCTGTCTCTGTCTCTCTTCCTCTCTCTCTCTCCTCTCTTCTCTTCTCTCTCTCTCTCTCTCTCTCTCTCTCTCTCTCTCTCGAGATACAGTCATGTAGACCAGTCTGGCCTCAAACTTTCAAGATAGCCAATGATGACCTTGAACTTCTGATCTTCCTGCCACCCCCTTCTGAATGCTGGAGTTACATGCATGCCCCACCACTCCTGGTTTATGTGGTGCTGGAGTTCAAATCCAGGGCTTCATGTGTGGTTAAGCAAGCTCCCCAAGAACTGAGCTACATCTCCAGCGGTCATGTAGACCAGTCTGGCCTCAAACTTTCAAGATAGCCAATGATGACCTTGAACTTCTGATCTTCCTGCCACCCCCTTCTGAATGCTGGAGTTACATGCATGCCCCACCACTCCTGGTTTATGTGGTGCTGGAGTTCAAATCCAGGGCTTCATGTGTGGTTAAGCAAGCTCCCCAAGAACTGAGCTACATCTCCAGCGGAAGCTGCCACAACTTTGCAGTGTGAAATAAACAGTCATCCTCTTCATACCTGGAATCCTTTTCCGTCTGGTCTCCCATCCATCCATCCATCTCCCAAACTCGGTATATTCGTGTTCCTTAAAGTTCGGGCTGTCACTCTAGGAAGATGCACAAGGTGATCATTAATACTAGGTTTTGTCCCAAAGAGATTGATGGGGAAAGCAAACAAGGACACACTGGAAACATCCACCCACTTTCATGTCCAGCTCCCACCTAGACCAGTGGGCACCTCCATATTTTGTATCATCTAAGACAGAACCACTATTGGCAGTGAGTTAGATTATAACCCATGGACTCTATAGATCCCCCCAAATGCTGCCACTCTGCTGTGTCTAGGTGGGCACTGGGGGAAATGAGATGGGTTAGTTACTTTTCCTAAGCAACACAGACCTTGAAAGCACTCCTAATGGCAACGATGTTGGTGCAGACCTTTAAGATGAGCCCTGAGCAAACTGTTTCCCCTTTGAGAACCAGAATAACCACAACGCCTTGGTGGGGTGGGGTGATGTTGAAATAACACATAAACAACCCTTGGTGCTTGGTGAGTGGCCGTGCCTGGGAACGCATCCCTTGATACACCAAGTGGGGTGCAAAGAGGAACTTACATGACTGCTTATGAAAAATTCCACAGCAAGGCGATAAGAACCCTGGCCTGACACGAGCTGGGCATGTGTGGCCATGGCCTGTGACACTAATCTAGCACAAACAGGAACCCATCATGCACTGTTCCTCCAGCTCCCAAGCAAGGGGCTATGGAGTAGGCTCACCCCTAGACCTCGATTTGCCTCATCTGTCAAAAGCAGATGACTTCAGTGCTGTCTCCCAACCAAGGCCATCATGGGCATTGAGGTATGCCAGGCCACATAAGAAGTGCCCAGGTTTGCCTGACCATAGACAAGGCATCCCTGATCTGAAAATTCTCCAAAGTCCTCACACTTCAGACTTAGGGTATTTGTGATGCTGTTATTATAGTTGTTGAGACAGGGTCTCACGTATCCAAGGCTGGCCTGGAACTCTTGATGCTCCTGCCTCCATCTCCTGAGTGTTACGAACATAAGCATGGAGCACCCTGCCTGGGCCAGACTTGGAGTTTTGAGGTTGAGATTCACTGACCGGTGAAGTATATGCAAAGATTCCAGATTTTGAGGAAATCTAAAAGAGACATTCTAGCCCCAAGCATCTCTTGGTGAAGCCTGAACAAGCCACATCTTAAGACACCCACACCCAGCCCTTCCTCACTCATCAGGAACTATACCACCCTCTTCAGAACCAGTAGGAAGAAAGGGGAAACATAACCCCTCAGCCTCCAGGCCTCTAACTCTTGGCATTAGATTTAGGTTTGGTGGCAAGCGAGTCAGCTTCATGTGTTCCTGCAGCAGAGAGAGGCATATGGAAAGCTGGAGAACTGCGTCACTTAATGTGTGACAGGAGAAAAAAGCATTGTGCAGAAAGAGTGACAATTACAACCTTGAAAAAAGGAGAAAATCCTGGGCCAACCCTGGAGCACACTCCTAGCCCTGAGGTCTGCCCTACAGCAGTGGGCACAGCCTTGAATGTGAGCCACCAAATGTGCGTGGACAGGAGACAGAATGATTGTGACAGTGCGCTTATTACTCAGCCATGAAGAGGAGAATCTGGGTTTGCAGAGACCATATGTGGAGCTCTGTCATTTAGAGCATGGTGCAAGATGTCAGGTACTTTATAACAAAAACATAGACTTAAAAATATAAAACGCATGTCAGACACTTGGGATTGGGATATGTTTTAAAGCGTAAGATACATGAGGGGAAATTTCTGCTATGGACTGAATGTTGAAGCCTGCCACCCACCGGAAATAGTGTGAGGATGTAGGGGTTTGTGGGAGATTAGGCCACAAGGGCAGAACCTGTTATAGTTTGAGTGTTAAATGCCACCAAAGGCCCATTTGTTAAACAAAGGCTTAGTCCTCAGCTTTCCATATTGTGAGGCTGTGAAAATGTCAGAGGAGGTGCTTAAAGGGAGGTTTTCTGGTGATTGGAGATAGTGAGGCCCAGGCCTTTCCTCTTTTCTTCCTTGGTAGCCATCAGGTAAGCAGGCCTCCACCCCACACTCCTACCATGATGTTCTGTGACACCACGAGCCCAAAGCAACAGGCCAATCAGACATGAGTGAGAAATCTATAACCAGCAGCCAAAATAACCTTTCCTCTTTATAAGCTGATTCATCTCTGGTACTCAATATAGAACAGAAAGCTGAATGACAGAAACCCTCACGACAGAACTGGGCCTTGTAGACGACCTGGGCATGGTCTCTCTCTGCCCTGTACCTGTGAGGACTCAGGAACAGCCATAGGAAGCGACCCTCACAGGCAGCAGCCCTGCCGGCCTTGGTCTTGGATGTCCAGCCTCCCAGCTGTGGGAGCACATGTTTACTATTTAAGAATCCTGCATGTAGTGCTCTGACGTAGAACACTGACCACTGTACAGCACAGTGTTCTCTGCGAGGGGAGGAGTGGGCTGGGATTGGTGGAGCAAAAGGGGACTCAGATTCATCTATCATATCACATTCATTTTCTCCCTCTCCCCTCTCTCTCTCTCTCTCTCTCTCTCTCTCTCTCTCTTGTCTCTCTCCCTCTTTCCCTCCCTCCCTCCCTCCTACCCTCCCTCCAGTGTAAACAAGCACCAAGCATGGTAGTGCACACCTGTAATCCTAGCACTCAGGAGGCTGAGGCAGGTGGAGTACCACAAACTGGAAGCTAGCCTGGGCTATAAAGTGAGTTCCAGGTCCCCCGGACTGTAAAGTGAGTTATAGGCCTGGACTCTTTTTTTTTTTAGTAATTTGTTTTACTTGGTTTGGTTTGGCTTTTGAGACTGGGTCTCCCTGTAGCCCAGGTGGCCTGGAACTGGCTATGTAGACCAGAAGAGCCTTAATCTCACAGAGATCCACCTGCCTCTGACCCCCAAATGCTAGGATTAAAGGTGTGTACCACCATGCCCAATTTATCTTTTTTTTTAATTTAAGAAAAATGAAATAAAATGCATACCAAGTGCTTTAAATTTGACTATATATACACATGTGGGTGCCAGTGTGAGCATTTTGTGTGTGCATATGAATACACCCTAGTGTAAAATACAAAAAATAAGGCCCTGCTCTCTCCCTCCCACATACACCTAAGCTCACCTCTTGGGCTTCTCGGTGTGGAGTGTGGCCTTCCAGACTCTGTGAGCACCCACCATACACATGGCCTCCATGGCCTCTGCATGGAACCCCAGTTCATTCTCCAGGAGCCCGGGGATATCTGTGTCTGGACGGATATCTATCTGACTCCCTATTGATTTCCACTTGGGAGTGCTCTTTCCTCCTCCAAATATCAGGATGAATATTTTCTGCACTGGTTTGCCTGCTGTGCAAACAATGTAAGTCTATGTACTAGCTAATCAGGGAAATCTTGTGGGGAGGCAGACATGGTAAAGTGATGAGAACTTCAGCATTTTCTTGCTTCTGAACTAACATCTCCCCCCATCATTTATTTTTGGTTTCTCTTGAAGAATAAGTTTGTATATGGACAATGCCTTCAGAGGGTCATGCTTCAACTTTCTGTGGATGCAGCTGGGTCCTGGCCTGACAGGGTAAGCAATCTCTCCAGCAGGCCCTCACCCAGAGTTGTGGGGAGAGAGTACAGCAGTCATACTCAAAGAGCACATGCCCCTGAGGTTCCCTCCCAACTCAAGACCTTTATGTGTGCATGGATAACAAGAGAGCAGGGTTCTCAGAGCTTCCCTGTATTTGTCTGCTTTGGTGAGGGGGTGCATATGTATGTGTAACATATGCGTGTGTTTGTGTGTGTGCACATGTGTGTGTGTGAATGTGTGTGGAGGTCAGAGGTCGACATCAAGTGTCTTCCTTAATTGTGCTCCACCTTATTTTCTAATGTTTTATTTATTTTATGTGTATGAGTGGATTGCTTGCATATAGGTAGGTGCACTTGTGTCGTGCAGTGCCTGTGGAGGTGAGAAGAGGGTGTCAGATCTCTTGGAACTGAAGTTACAGACAGTGTTAGCTGCCATGTGGGTGCTAAGAACTGAACCCAGGTCCTCTGCAAGAGCAGCCAGTGCTCTTAACCACTGAGCCATCTCTCCAGCCCTCCACCTACTTTTTGGGACAGGGTCTGTCGTTGAACCTGGAGTTTACTAATTAGGCTAGAAAGCTGACCGTCAAGTCTCAGGAAACCATCCTGTCTCCACCTCCCCAGTACTGTGATTGAAGGTGCGCACACTACTGGCACTGGGATTACTGCTATGCCTAGCTTTTTATGTGAGTGCTGAGAATCCAAACCATGGTCCCTTATGCTTGCACAGCAAGCACCTTACCAAGGTTAGGACCCATCTCACTAACACTATTTGTCCACTATTTTTAAATTGTGTGTGTGTGTGTGTGTGTGTGTGTGTGTAATGAGTATGTTTGAATATGGACACGTGTGTACCATAGCATGTATGTGGAGTCAGAAGACAACTTTCAGGATTCCTTCTATTGTGGGTTTCTGGATGGAACTCAGGTCCTCATGCTTGCACAGCAGTGCTTTACCTGCTGAGCATCTCCTCCATCCTATTTGTCTGCTTTTTAATCAAGGATGCCCTACACTTTTGTTTGTTTGGTTTGGGTTTTTGAGACAGGGTCTCACTGTAGCCCCAGCTGGCCTGGAACTCATCGTGTAGACCAGACTGGCCTCAATCTCATAGAGATCCACCGGTCTCTGCCTCCCAAATGCTGGGATTAAAGGTGCACGCCACCACTCCCGGCCCCTACACTTTTGTAGTTAGGAAGGTGTCCCAAAAAGTCAAGATGTGTCAGTTTCCTTCCCAACTCAGGGTGCAAAAACCACAACTATCATGGGAGCAACACTCAAGGACCTCAGTGTTTTCCCACTTAGCAATCTGGCCCTCACTTCCTCCCCCAACTCTACTGTCTGCATGTTTGAAGGAGCTGTGCTGATCTGTGTAAGTTTCCAGTGGTCCAACATGCTGATTTCCCAGTACACAGCAAAGATGCACAAGCAGGCTTCAATGCACACTGTGGCAGAACTCACACTATGCCAAGCCATGATATAGAATACCAGTTTACAATACCTTTATGAGGTTTTCTGCAGGCGCAAAAAAGTCATCTGTCGCAAACAAAACCTAGACATAGAGAAAAAAGAAGTCAAGATGAAATAATCATAAATTTAAAACCATTTTATTTCATTCCCTAGAGAAGCATTAGGGAATGCAGTAAAAAGAAGCTGTGATTGCCTGAAGGAGGCAACATGCAATGGGCCATATGCTTTCCCACTGCTTAGATCTCCTTGCCTGCCTGCCCCTGAATCTTTTCTTCCCACCCTCTTATTCCTAATCCCTGCTACCATCTGGATGAGGAAATGCTAACTGCATTGGAAGAAAATAAACCAACTCTCTTCTCTTGGCCCTGTGGCTCTTTCATAAACAGAGCCAGGGAGGATCGGGCAGGCTAGGAAAGGGAATGGGGCTGGCTGGGGTGTGGAAAGGCAGGATGGGCTGACTGGGAAGTGGGGAGGGGGCTTGCTGGGAGGGGAAATGGGAAAGACTGGGACATGGAATGGGTCTGGTTAGGGAGAGGATTTGGGACTGACTGGCTGAGGAGATGGCTCAGGGGGCTTGTCATACAAGCATGAGGGCCTTTGGATCCCTAGCACCATGTAGAAAACAGGTATGGGGGCTAGAGAGATGGCTCTTTTGCTGCTCTTCCAGAGATCCACAGTTCCAGAATTCCAGTCTCAGCACCCACATGGGGCAGCTAACAACTGCCTGTAACTCCAGCTCCAGGGAATCTGATGCCCTCTTCTGGCCTTTGTAGTACCCATACACATGGCATATACTCAAAGAAACACACATAGACACCTAAATAAGAAATTTTTTTAAGTTTTAAAAAATAAAACTCAGATGTGGCCGCATGCACACCTGTAACCCCAGCACTGGAGGGGCAAAAAAAAAAAAAATGTGAGCTCCAAGTTCAGGTTCAGTAAGAGACAATGTCTCAGAAGAAATGAGGTGGAGAATGACAGAGGAAGATACAAGATGCCCTCCTCTGGCCTCTGCGTGCACACACACACACACACACAGACACACACACACACACATGCACAGACACACACACAGATAAATAAATAAATAAATAAATAAACAAACAAACAAACAAACTAGTGCTGAGTCACACCTGTGGTCACTGCTCTCCCTCCACATGGCCCACGAAAGTGGTCCTACAGGAAACTATCCTGTAATGTACCCACCAAAGCAGCCTGTTTCTGAGTGAGGCAGGGTGTTACTAATTGCACATCAGTAAACAGGAGTAAACTACATTTTCCCTGAGCAAAGCATGTTGTTGGTCACTGCATAAACAAGGAGAACATAAGGGCTGGAGCGATGGCTCTGCGGTTAAGAGCACTTGCTGCTCTTCCAGAGGACCTGAGTTTGGCTCCCTGTATCCACATGAGGCAGCTTAAACCACCTGTAACTCTAGTTCCCTGGGATCTGATGGCCTCTTTTGGCCTCCTCAAGTAGCTGCATACACATGTCACACACAGAGAGACAAATACATAAATAAAAAGATAAACAAATAAATAAATAAAATAAATTCTGAGACAGAGAAAAAGCGTAGCACCCGCATCCATCTCCCTGCTCCCTGACTGAAGACGCAATGCTCCCGCTGCTTTCCTTCCATGCCATGATGGGAGCTGTATCCCCACAGAACTGTAAAGCAGAATAAATCTTTCCTTCCTTAGATTGTTTCTTGTCATATATTTGCTCACAGCAACTAGAAAAGTAATTAATACAAAATACTCAGTGGCCAGAAATAGGGCTGTTGCTACGATAAACCTGACCATGTAGTTCTTGGGTCTTTGGAACTGGTTTGTGGAGAAGAATGTGGAAGAGTTAAAAATCACTGTTCCATTCTCTAAAAACATAAAAATTAAAAAAAAATTTAAAAAAAAAACACAGAGGAATAGTGAACCTTTTATAAGTACAAAACGTCTTTTTAAAAATTGGAGGATGCAGGAGATGACTCATGGGTAAGAATGCTTCCCGCACAAGCATGAGGACCTGAGTTCAAATCTCCAACACGCACATAAATAGCTGGGTGTGGCCGTGTGGTCCAATAACCCCAGTGTTGGAGCTGCAAAGACGGGATAACTGGGGCTCACTGACTGTGAGCAAAGCTGAAAAATGTCAAGTTCCAAGTTCAGAGAGAGACCCTGTCTCAAGGGAGTAAGTAAAGTGTGGTAGAGGAGACACCTGACATCCTCGTTTGGCCCCTGTATATGCACATATAAGTGCATGTACCTGTACACACGTGTATACAAGCTCTCTCTCATCCTCTCTCTCTCTCTCTCTCTCTCTCTCTCACACACACACACACACACACACACACACACACACACACACACACTGTTGCTGCTCTTACTCAGAATTGCCAGGATTTCGGGTCAGCTCTTGGGAACCCTGGCAGTGCTGGGCCTCCTCGGCTACCCAACTGGGACCAATGTAAGTGGAGTTGGAACCTAACACGGTGTTCCTGTCCTGAGCCCAGCTCACCTTTCCTCCCACGCACTCAGAGGCCATGTCGATCAGCTGGGTGAAGTCCAAAAACCTGGTCAGTTTTCCCTCCTTGGGAATGTCAGTCATGCTTCCTAGAAGCAGGAAAGGCAGGCCAGGTCAGCAAGGGGACGGCAGGTGGCAGGGACTGCATGAGTAATGAGGCCATCCAGGTCCCCAAAATCATGCTTGGAGGCACTCAAAGGTGAGGCAATGACAGGACTGGACACTTGTCACCTTAGTGAGGCTAAACCAAGAGCCAACTTTGTGTAAAAAACACCAAGATGGGCAGGAAATGAGAGAAGAGCTTCCTTCTGAGATACACAAGAATAAATGGCCACTTATACACAGATCCTAAACCCCACAGCCACACAAGGCCAGGTTGTGTTTTAACTGCCTAAAAAGGAGCGGTTACTTTAATTTTTAATTTTTTTTTTAAAAAAACAACTTGATTTTCTCTTTGGGTATATTCAAAAAATACCCCTAGAGCAATCAGGCAAGGGAGCAGGGAGATGTGCCTATGTGAGTGCTCCACCATGAGGCACACCCTCTCCTCCCGAGGCCCAGGGATCATTGTGGAAGAGAGGGTGGAAAGATTGTAAGAGTCAGAGGTTAGATGACTACAAGGAAACTGATGTCTGGACACCACAGGATAGCTGCACATATGAACCCACAACATTTACGATAGCATGTGTAAGACCTGTGCAAACTCAAGCCAGATAGGGGTCCAGCATGGATGGGGAGGTGGGTAGGAAGCCCCAGCCCTAGCTAAGGATCTATTGGCAACTGATAGATGCTGAGCGAGGGAGAGTCATTTTACCTTACTTGTGACACCTGTCAGGTTGATCAGTCTCCAAGGGATAGACTAACACCCAAGAGCCCTTGGGGAATGCAGATTAGGCTTGATAGGCCTTAAAAAAAGACAACAGAGAACATGAAGTGGGTGGGTAGTGAAGTGGGGATAGGGAGGAAGGAGTCTGAATAGCATCAAAATACATTTATATTATATATTATATTTAAAATATAAAATATTTTTGAAAAAGCAGAAATATAGTTTATAACAAAGCTCTTTTTTATTTTATTTTATTTTATATGTATACATGTATTCCC